AGGGGATGGCCCAGATTATAAGCAAGCTAGTTCTGCACTCCTGGCTCAGCTGATGTTCGCAGAAGCCAGTGGAGAATTTGGATGGAACAAAGCAAGGAGAGCCTGAACTGGAGCTCCAGTTACTGCAAATACCCACTTTCACAGGGCTTGATGTTGTTCACTCACATGTCTGCAGACTTATGGGCTCATTGCTGAAAAGTGGCATATGAGTGAATCATCTGTTTTCATAATTCCTCAGCAAAACAAGTGGTCTGATTCACACAGGCAAGAGAGTTCAACCATTTCTCCAGAACGACTGCTGCAACTCCTTAGTAAGGATGTGTTCCGAGACATGTTTTAAATCAATACTGTTTAGAAGACAGAAGGCTGAAGTTGGGGATTAAATTTTAGCCCCTGGGTGTCTGAAAAATTACAGGACACTTCTGGGCCTTTCAAATTCTGTTGGAAGCATTTCCTGGTATTACTGAACACTGCAGATCCTGACAGAAGACCTGCTACTTGTCCAGTGGATAGATCTACACAGACAATTTCGTATGCTCCAGAACAACACTCTGTGCTTTAAACCAGCTTGCAGCCACATGTGAAAGACTCTGCCTTACCTCACACTTGATCTTTCCCCTACCAGATGCATTTCGCCTGTGATCAAGACCTGCATGGCCATGAGATGATTCTGCCTCCTTTGAAAGTCTGGCAGGTAGCTGGGCAGCACTCACTGCCCATTTCTCAGAGGCCATGAGAGGAAGCACTGTCAGAGCAGCATGCCTTCCCAGCAGGTACCCTCAGGAATTAAAGTGCTTGCCAAATAGCATGCCTGTCTCCCTGTACTCAGAGCCTAGTGCAAACCAGTCCCTCTTGCACAGGAGCCAAATTAAAGTGCCTGCGAGCAGCACAGTCTCACGTTAAACAGCCTTGTGTTTAAAACTTCACCATTGTCTGTATACCTACATGCCAATGCATGCCTACATACAGACATACACATTTCTACATTTTAAGCCCTTGTTATATTTTAAGCCTTTGTAAAGGCTTAAAACTTAGTGTTTTACTAAGTACTCAAGGAGGAGAAATGGACTGGAGATACCAAAATACAGCTTGAGGCTTGCAGAGGCTGAGCTTAAACTGGAGAGTCTGATAAGAGCAAGTCAGGATGCAAATCAGTGATATTTAATGCAGGAGCAGAACAGAGCTCAACTTACTTCATCTGTGCCTGTACAGATGCAGTCCTCAGTGCAAGCTCAGTATTCACTGCCCTTCTTCTAGGAGTACACCAAAGCCTCTTTCCACCCAGGTACCTGGTGGACAAATGCTGCTGGTCTGATGGAGCTGCTGCTGGCCCTGGATCTCAGACTGGAGAAAGGCTGCTAGCCTCTGGTGTGCTGCCTGGTAGGGCCCCATGTTCAAAACCTTGGTGCTAAGGAGCAAGCACATTGCTTGAGCTTAGCAGGTGCCCCTCAGCCACAGAAGTCCATATGGTTCTGCCTCCCATGTTGGGAAGGAAAGAATGCTGGAAGCTATTAATCTTGTGGTACTGAGCAGCTTTGTTACTGTGCATCTTGGGCACCAGCAACCTGTGTGCAGTACAGGAGGATGAGGAAGATGAGGAGAGCACCCAGCACAGGTCATGCCAGTGTTTGTTAGTTGATATGATCAAATGGTCACTGTGGCTCAGTGTTTTGCAGAAATCTCAAGTTAGGTCTAGAGCTGCTATGTATTTTGGATTTAATGCACATCATCATTGTTTATTTTTCCCAACCTGTAGACCTGGATACAGCCTAATAGAAATACTCATTGCTAATACTCTGGACTTCAGTAGAGTCCTGTGATTGTGGAACCAGTTGATACTGCTTACAAAGTGATAGTAAAAGGGGAAGCAAAGGGCAGCTCAGGACATTCTAGTGAAATAGAAAACCACAGCAGTCACCTTACAGAACCTCATGCAGTGGCATGTTCTGAGCCCAGCTCCACTGTCAGAGAAAATTACATTATGCTGATATTTATTTTGGCAGAAAAAATCTGGTTTACACACAACAGTCCATAGAGGTCATCGAGGCCAAAACATATCCCAAGGCCCCACATAATGCTGAAAGCTCTAAAAAGAAGTGGCAGCTGATCATTTCAAGCCCACTGACAAGGAAGGGAAAAAAGTGTATCAGCACATGAGCTAGGAAGTAATTGTTCGTTTAACCTGGTATATGTTGTGTGAGCATAGGCACATTTCTTGTTTCCTCAGCCTTCCTTGATCTTGGGCCATTTGCTTATATGGCCGCAATCCAGTTGCACAGACTGGCCTTGCAATTGGCCCACGTTCAGCTCCCGCTTCAAGCAGAAAACCCCCTCAACTCCTGAGCAGCAGACAGATGCCATTCATGCATGCACACCTTCTCCATGCCAACATCTTTCCCACACCTTCCTTGGTACCCAGCCTTGGCACCTGCCTGCTCTGGATCTGGTGTTGACCCCACTCTGAGTGGGGCTGGCTCCCTGCCATTCCCCATCTGGAACCAGCTCCACCAGGAAGCCATTGGGAGCCCTGATCTGTTGGGCCACACATCTTCAACCCTCCTGGGAACCCTGATCCATTGGGTCACACATCTTCAACCACCCCCAGATGGTTCCCAGGCCTGAAAGAATGTGTGATTTTAGAGATACCATGCGCTACATAACTCTGTGGGTATTTACATGGTCAAGATGTTCAGTGACTCCATGGAGATGGCAACAGCCTCTTCCCAGCTTTCTGAAATCAGCAGGAACCTTCCCGTTGACATGAATCTCAATTTAGGAAGGCAGCTAGGGTGCAATTAAATACAGCCTTGTGGGAAGTGGCTCTTGCGTACATGCCTAACTTTAAGCAAGAGCTTAAGTGCTGTTCTGAATAAGGATGATTTCCTGAGCTAGAGCCTCCACTGGGAGCTGGAGTGGATCCAGAAGAAGGTTATTCCGGGTAAGCTGCCTGAGGGATTTTAACAGATAATTTTGTGCATCTATATAGCACGCTATCTGGAGAAAAGGAAAGTAATCTTTTAATTGGATTCCATCTGATTAATGAACCCTCCTGGATCTCCTAACATCCGGCAGTTTATAAGCCATATTCTGGCATCTCCATTGAAGGCTCCAGTAGAAGCTAAAGTGCTGATTCACCTTAGATTTCAAAAATACTGTGAATTTGGTGGCCAGGAATATATGCTGCAAGCATCGTGGCATGGCATGTACATTTATCCCACCAAAGTAATGGAAGTATATTTTGGTCCTGCTTTCTTTTAGTTTCAGGACTATATAATATGTGGATCCTCAAAGCACCTTCTTGAGAAGGATGAGTTCAGCATTTCTGCTGCTGCCTCTCACTGGCCATTTCTGAGATGGAAGAAAGAGGGGAAATTACCATTTTCACAGAAATTCAGTCACTTTTAAAATAAATCAGATTTTTCACAGTGTTGCAAAACATCTGCAGACCTGCACAACTGGAGTACACACACCTTTTTGTGTGTATGCAATTGTTGTGGTTCATGTAAGAATGTGTTCAGAAAATTTCTGTCTCTTGGCAGTAGCTTACCCTGCTTGTGCATTGACCTAGATCATTCAGAAATCTCATCATCTCAGTGGGGTTACCACAGTCCCCATGCTGGTATCTCCTGGATGGGGATGAAGCTGCCCAGAGCAGCATGGAAGGCACCAGAGTACAGCAGTGTGCAGGTTGCAGGCAGCAGATCTGGGCTCAGTACCATGAACTCTCTAGGACAAGTGGTAGCTTCATATTCCAGTCTAATGTGTTGAATCAAACTCCAGTTTTGTGCTCTTTTGCAGGGATTACCATACCTCATGTGCTTGCAATGCAGAGATTTACTGTTACCATCACTCATCTCCATCACCAGAGTTAGCTGTGAGCCTCATTAAGTGCAACCCTCCAGCCCCAAAACAGCACTGTACTTGAGCTTGGACGGGTACATTCAACAACGTGCAAGGCCCACATAGTGGAGTGAACTAAGGGACTGGATGTATCAACCATACATTCATATGTATATCAATCAAGGTATCCATATGATGGAGGACAGGAGTCTTAAGACATTCGTGTGCAGCATGACTGTGAGCTATCTAACTCAGTGAGGGTGATCCAGGATCTTAGAGTACTTATTGCTATTGTAATGGCAGAAAACAGAGTAAAAGGTTCCTAATGCAAATTGGTTATAATAGACACAACCAGATTTGAGCTAAAAGCTAGCAGTTTATCCCACAAATATTAAAGGGAATAGTCTGGATTCAAGTGGGTTTCTATTTGTCTGTTTGTCTCCTCCTTGCCTGCTCCAGATGCTTTCAGAGCTGACAAACTTCAGCTTGTTGTCCTTGTGGAGCAAGGAATCAGTAGACTATAAGGGCTAGACTGCTTGCCTGGTTTTGCACGTATGTGTCTCCACTGAAGTTAGCCTAAAGGATATCCCCAGTAAAAAAAGCATCATGCATCTCTCCAGTGACATAATTCAGGAGCCTTGCTTGACAAGGATACACAGCTGACCTTTCTGACTGCAATTCCCTCAACTCAGACAGGGTTCAAAATATTATATCCGAACCTGGATTCAAATGCTGCAGACCATTCATACATCCATATATCTGTGTAAGAAGCTGAACTTCAACTGTGCATGTTTCTCCATGTCAATATATTCACTTTTGACCTGAGATCTCAGTTCCGTGTCATGAGCTCACCTCTGATCCTAGCCTGCAGTGAAAAACAGAGGTTCCTTACAGAAAATTGAACCTCCCCCAGAAGGACACCAAACATTCAAAATCCAGATGTAATAATGTGGATGGGTTGATTGAACTAAAAAAGCCATGTACTGGAAGGGACCCCATCTCTGGGGTTTGATTTTGCCAGCCCGCACTCAGAACTATATTCTGTGTAAGTAAAATAAAAACACAATTTCCATAGCTCAGGGCTCACCTAGAGGAATTTTGTCTTCTCAGAAGTGAAGTCCCAAACCTCTCACCAAGGACAGGCTTTCTCTTAAAACTGATCTGTAAAACTTGTTTTATTCTGCTTTCTCTATTCAAAGTTTTCTATACTTTTGATAAGTATTCCCCTAATTTCTGAGAATTACCGTAAAGCTAATACAGCAGTGAAGTGCTCATAAATGGGTCAAAGAGTGGTGTGTCAGTTGTGCATCCACTTATCAGGAGGACCAAAATCTGTGGGGAGAAGACAGCTCACATTTCTTACTTCAAAGGCTCCATATCAGTCTACATTTGGCGCACAGCACAAAGCCGTTTGTTTGACCTACAGCTCTGGCTAAACATCATGATAAATAAAAAGGAACATGATTAGATATAAAAATATCTGGGTCACTTTTGCCAGCAAAAGCAGATTTGATCTCTTCCAGAGACATATTTTTCTGTAAATCAGGACAATGGGATGTTCCTTACTTTTTCTCTTGGAGCACATGGGACACCACAGAGGATGCAGGTTCCACCAACTCTAACTGGCATTGTTGTTCTAAAGATCATTTCCTCTTTGAAAGTCCAACGGAAGTCTTATTAAAGAAGTGAAATTTTATCTTCAGATATCAGTCCAGTAGTAAAGTCCAGGTCAGCATCTTATGGTGACCCAGAATAAGTTCTTCCTAGGTTTTATGTATGCAGCTGAAAACTATGAAACAAACAGGCAGGCCAAATAGGAAGAGGTGGTGCTTTAACTGGAAAAGTTACAGGCATTTTGCTTATTTGGCTTGCACTGATAGATTTGTGTCTGGAAGTCTCAAAGATGCTTTAACCACAACACCAGCTTGGTCTTAACAGTGACCGCTCTTTTTGCTGGCATCTTTTGAGAACCTCTATTTTAAAGCTCACATATCATTTCAGCAAACATCAGAAGATATTTGCTGAAAATACAGATACAGTTTTGCTCTTGTAACTCTAAACAATCTGGAAGCTTCTTGACGTACTGCATGTGGTGTGAGATTTTCTGTAACAAGTTGGAACTTTGATGGGAGTCTTATCTCACCAGGCAGGAACAGCATGAGCGGTACCCTGCAGCATCTCACAGCTGATACAAGTCTAAGGAATTGTAAGAACATGGTTTCTGAAGACCCAGACTCATGGACGCACACTACCCAGAGATAGAGCCTGGCTGCTGGCACAGAGCCGCCTCTAGATATGCCATCCCAGGAGGTCTGCATTTGCAGGACTGCATGCAGTGCTCTATCCTAGTATCTGTGGGCTGCGTTCTGGTAACAGGAACACTATGGACTTGAGCAGTTTGAATGAAAACATTGATTTGCTGACTTTTTTTCGGGAAAGCAACTGAAAGAGTAGATGTTCAAGCATACTGAGGTGTGTAATACCTTTCAAAATCAGTGGGAGCTAGGAACCAAAATAGCTATGAGAAGCTGAGTGGTTTGGTCACTGAATGACTCTCTGATGGGACAAGAAGCTGAAACTACGTCTCCCCGGCTGTGGCTGTCTCTGTTGAGCCACTGACTGCTAATACCTTTTGACGTAGAAACTGATGTATGAATGCCATCCGCCACAGAACACGCATCAAAACACTAATTCTTATACAAAACCCTAGCTTACACCGAACATTCATGCTATGTGCACGATGAAAGTCTGCTTTGGAGTCCTCACAAATCTGACAGTGTCCTAGAACTGCACCTGCTCTTTTAAGCAAGGACCCCTATCATTAATTCATAGATGAGCAGAATTTTTAAGTGGTCATTAATATCATATCACAAGTGGCTGAAGCTCACATAATGAGATGAGTGAGGACCAAAGGCTCATCTGAACAGTCTTGGACTTTGTGGAACTGGAGATCAAATGCTGTCTCAGGAATCATTAATAATGGATTGAAACCAACTACCCCATGTAACTGGAAGAATTCAGGAGCTTATAGTCATCTTTGCAACAGAATATTATTCTGATTCATATCACTCTATCTGAGCTCTTCCTGGGTTAACTGGAACCCCAAAACAATGTTCCTGGTAAATTTTAGAGCACCTTCAACTCTTATCAGGGAAATACATGAAATGTGTGTGCAGAACCGGGATCAAAATTCAGAGCCTGCACAGCATCACAGTAAGACCTAGGCAGAAAACAGTAATTCCATTATGAAATCTAGTTGCCTTACACCCTGGACTAAAACATTTCCTCTTACTCTTGCAAAGGGAATAGAGGCAGGTGGCTGGGAAGAGGGAGGAAGGAGCCCAGGGACAGTCTGCACAGTGCCTGGGCTACTGAGGAGTTGTGAGATGGGTCTGTCAAAACCTCATCCAAACCTAAAACTTTTGACAAGCTGGTGAACTCCTTGTTTTGCTGCTGTTTCTTTAGCTAGCTGTCATGGTGACAGATTCTGTCTACAGACAGGGCGCTAATGAAATACTCTTGTATTCTGGACAGCACTCTCCCTCTGCCCCTACCACTGGCTGCTGCAAGAGGTTTGACAGGAGCTCCTGAGTACACATATGGAAAAGTTCAGAGACAGACTAACCCAGAGGTTAGCCCATGGACATCAAAACAGTGTCCCTCCTCAGGGCTTGCTCTAATTCAGAAATCAGGATAGCAGCACCTGCAGCAGATAAACACACATGTGGGCCTGGGTCACTTGAGTTAATGAATAATAACTTGCTGACACGGTAACACATGAGCATCCCTCCAGCTAGATGATAAGCTGTAGGGAATCAGTCACTGAACTTCAGGTTTGGTGCATACATAGTCTATGTATGAGGTATTCATTGAAATGGGGCTTGAATTTAGGAGACTGCAATGTACTGGAGAAACTCCTGTGGAAGGGCAGCTGCAGCTGTACAAGCTTGCTGGGAATACTGCAGTGTGTAGAGGACAGCATAGGAATAACTCTGCTGGTTATGTTAATGCTCACAGAGAGATGCTTGTACACGTGGGGTTACTCTGGAGGCAGCCGAGCCTAGGCTGGTATCATTTACAGATGGAGCCAGGCAGAAGGAGGCGTGATTTACACTGGCTGAGACGCACTTACCCTTTCCTCTGAATCCAGCTGAGCACATTGAGGGCAGCCAGGACTCACAGTGCGGAAAACGGAATCAATATTTTAACTCTTTGCAAGCTGCTCAGCATTTGAGCTTGGCCACCCAAAAGGCTGGAGCCGAGGGCCAGATAACCGTACGACTTGGCACTTCATGTTTCCTCGCCGACGGTGACACGCACGTTGCGTCTTTGCTCTTGCGCTCTGCCCACACGCAGCCAAGGAGGGAGCAAGCCGTAGGCTCAGCTCACCCATACCGGGTGCCGTTTTCTGCAGCGACCACACAGTGTCCCCACAGCGCTGTACTTCCAGCTCTCCACCTACCAGCAGAAACACGTCCAAATGGTAGCTCGTCTGCATGCCCATGAATATACCCCCCTCCAGCGCCGCTCAAACCCGTACTTACATGGTTAGAGTTGGCAGGAAAATGATTCTGACCTTCAGTTGCGACCGGTCCACTCAGTTCAGGCCTGGTGAGGCGAGTACAGAGTCATTAAAAAAAAAACAACAAAATCCAACAAAAAAAAACCCCTCCAACAACATGTAAAGGTCAAAATTCAAGGTCTGCTGCTCATTGCTAAGAAATAACACCAGAAACCTCCCTCTTTTGCATAATACATTTCATGCTGAGACCTGAAACATACTGAAAACAAAGGTAAGCCGTGTTAGCGCCATTTCACAAATGGACAAGCAAGCCAATTGACAGGTCCTCACAAAGGTACATAGCAGACCTGAACCTGATTAGGCTCATGTCTATCGAGGCTCACCCTACCGGACCACACTCCCAAACCCATGCAATAAGTGATAATGTGGGGCTTTGTTTCCCTCTGCCCTTAATATCTCCCTGTCCAAGGGATGGAGGTAAAGCAGTTCCCACCTTGCCATCAAGCTGGTTCAGCTGCCCCTGCAGGGTGGGAGCAAGCAACCTCCCTGACCTCCCTTGGGCCTGCAGACCTGAGACCACCCAGCACATACAGAAGCTGGTGTTTCAGAAGCGCCCAGCCCACTTCAGCAACGTTTAGGACACCTCCATATCTGTGTGACTGCAACAGATACGCTGCGCATGGCAGCAACACTGCTGGAACACCAACATGTATCCAGAAGTGTAGAGCAATGTGGGCCATGATACTTTACCTCCCTTCTTTATCCATTCAAACACAGCTTGTCTCTTCAAAAGCTAGGCACTGCGGGTAGGACACAGGGTCCTCTCAATTACATCTCTGCATCACCTGACACCTGAGGATGGGGCCCTGGGGCCCTATAAGGCCCATGTAGCCCTCACTTAAATGGGGAGGAGAGGTATGGGGGAAAGAAATACAATGTAGGGCTATGATTCCATAGAGCAGAGTTGCAGTAGCCATGGGATACAAAGGGATCTCTGGCCAGACTGGTCACTGGGGGAAATGCAAGTTGGAGGGCAGTGCCAGGCAGAGGGGAAAAAGTTACAGGATGCTTTCAAGACCAAGAGCAGGAGCAACCATCTTGAGATGGAGAAAGATACTTCTTTGAGTATGAAAATTTTCAGGAAGCCCACAGACAGGAAAGCTGATAAGAGAAAGATAACTCCTCACCCACCAGTAGGTTGCAGCAGATTCGAAGGAAAGCTGTCATCAGAGAGGATGGCAGTGACATGTGACAGTGGGCCTTATCTTGCTACGGATGCATCACCAGCCTGGCAGCAATAGTCACTCTTTGGCTAGGGTCATTGCTTACTGGCAGCAAGCTGTCTGCCCCTAGGGCTAGACCACCAGCCCTACCTCGTCTAGGTACCCATGTCATGCCTCCATCTACCAAGGTCGCACCACCAGCCACCATCAGTCAGTCCATTTAGCATCAAGGACCCTTCTGCTAAGGAGTCACCAAATGATGCTACCATTTTTGTTGCTCCATATTAACTTGCTGAGAATTCTCCTATTCCTTAGGATGACCCGCAAAAATACCACCATGAGCAGCAAAAGAAGGGAACCAGTGAGTCTGGTTTTGAGCAATATAACTTCATGTTGGTGGATCATGATGGAGGAACACAAGGGAGAGCTATGGGACACAGCCTTGTGGCCCTAGCTGCGCAAGTGAAAAGCCAGAGGAAAAGCACTAGGGATCAGATCTGAAAACCAAATGTTCACTCCCTCCTTTACCACATAGGCTTAAAGACACAGCAATACATGGACTTCTGCCCTGCATCTGCCATCCTAGTGAAAAAGATTGTCATATTCAGGAAAATCACAGCTTCCCTAACCTCCCTCACCCAGTGCAGGCAAGTTGCCCCACACAGTTTCATTACTGACGGCACAGTCTAATCGCTGTGGGCAGTACACGTGGATCCAGGCCTGAACTGTGGAGAAACCCTGCATCCTACCCTTCCCAGCAGAACAACAGGTGAAAGCTTGACTGCCAGAAAGTCCATTGGAGGCCACGGAGTAAATTAGGGGGAGCAAGCGGACCTGAGGGCAAGTGGTACCTCATGCAGCAACAGTGACCTTGCAGACAACTATCACAGAAAATGCCTGCCAGAAATTGCTTAGTTGCACTGAGAGTTCTCCTGGTAGAAGGCCTCTACAAAATCCAATTGGATTGTTTCATTCAGGTCACCCCTTCGCCTACAGATCAGATCAGATCTGCTTTGATCGGATCAGTCCAACAATGTCCTCCTCGAGGGCCCCTGTCTGTGGCTGCAGGAAGTCAGTCAGGCAAAGTGGTAGGAAGCTCAACCCTATGTCCTCAACATCAAGGCTGAGCCCATAAACTAGAGGCAATCAGGCCAACAGGGTCAGAGAGTTCCTTGAAGTGGGGCCAGCGGGGTAACTGAGAGCCCTGGGGCTCTTTTTCAGCTCTGTTTTTCCTCAGTCCTCTTGGTTTTTATTGTCTTTAGGGAGAGATGCCTCATGCACCTTCTTTTACAGGCTGTGATACCACAGACTTTAGCAAGCAGAAGAGCAAATAGCCCTTAGCCCAGAGTTGCTGCCATGAATAGCTGGCAGAGAGATCTGAGGTCTGACTTACTTATAGTTTGTTTAAGAAGAAAACCAGGCCAGCATGTGGCTTGTGATAATGCTCCCAGCCTTCCTCCCAGTATCGTGACCCATCTCTTCTGGGTACAGTGAATATGAATGACTCCAGGATTGCACATTGCCCCAGTGATCAATGAGGAGCTTTCTTCTCTGCGTGGTACCTCATGTGAGCTGCTTTCATTCCTTCCCTTCCGATTAAGCAAGGCCTGCAGGGTGCATGCAGGGCAGGGGGATCTCTATGGCAAACCCATTGCTGCTATTGGTCCTCTCTGCACCTTCTGCCTCCGTGTACCAAGCCTGCAAGTAGTACTTGCAGCTGGAGTTTCTCACAGTGGGAGAAGTGGGACCAAGTGAGTTGGTCCCCAGAGTAAGGGGCGGCATAGGGAAGAGAGGGCTGACCAGCTTGCATATCTTTCCTGGGGCTGCGCTCCCTTCATGGAGCCAGTGGTCCCAGACATGCAATATAATGGGAGCTGGCTTTCAGGAATTTATTGCCAGAAGCTTCTCTGTGTGAGACTGATGCAGATTGCTGTCCCTTGACCACAGGAAAAGGCTTCACACTTGTCAACCAGAAAGGATTTTTACAATGCATGCCTTCCTCTGGACAAATTGACCTGTAGGATGGTCCTTCCCTGGCCCTTGGTGTTTTACCTCATAGACAGAGCACCCTCCCCACCATGTCCCATCCCTGTCTAAGGTTGGGCAGCACCAGCTGCTCACCTCTAGGACAGGCTGGTGTGGAAGGTGTCCCAGGGCTTGCACCCAGCTTATCTCCCAGGCAGCTTTCAGGCACCCAAAGATACACTTGGCAGGAGCTAAGGATGTGGCTGAACTCCCCATGGTCATTTGGGTGGAGGCTGCAGAGGGTCACACAGCACTGATAAAGATGAAGGTGAAGATCATGACATCGTGGAGACTGGTATCTTGTGTCAACAGTTGAGAGTGTGGGTGGTGGGCAGAGAACTTCCAGGAAGCACTAGAACAACATGCACAGTCAAAGCTTCTGATTGGAGTGCTCAAGGGCCACATAGAGTGACCAAGAGAGGCACAGGTACAATCAAACCTTTTGTGACTGCATATTCAGGGGACACTGTAAGACATCACACATCCTGCCTATGAGCTCAAAAAGGGGGAAGATGCTCTGCTATGTCCTATACAGCAGGAACAGAAGAGTAATACACCCAGCGTATGGCCGTGTTGACCTCCACAGTGATACTGGCCACACTGCAGTAATCTGCTGTGCCACACACATATCAGACAGCAGGCCTGCTCTGCAATGTGGTCATGGGATCACAGGATAATTCAGGTCAGAGATGACTTCAGGAGGTCATCTAGTCTAGCCTCGCACACAAGCATGGTTAGCTAAAAGGATATGCATGAGGCAGGTAAGTTGAGACTGAGAGGGGCTTGACTGGGTATTAAGGGTGTTAAGGGCGGCTTGACTGAAATGCTGCAGAGATTTATGGGAGAAATGCCATACACTATGGAAGTCATACAAAGAGACAGATAGGGTGCTCTAGTTTCTTTACTGGAGCATCTAAAGAGCAATGCAGATACAGCCAGGGGCAATGATAACAGCCAAGAATGAAGATGTGTTCACTCACTGCTGTTGCTCTGGAATTACTGCAGTAATTCCTAGGGTGCAGTGTTATCAGCACTGTTCTCAGACTAAAGCCCAAACACAGCACTGCACCAGCTACTAGGAAGAAAATTAGCTGTTACGGCTGAAATCAGGACACTTACTGAAAGCATTTGGCTTCATGGCTGCAGGGACATTCCTCTCTCCAGTCTCACCATGCACATGCCTAGTGTCAAGGCTCTTGCCAGACCTCCTAGCTGCGACTTTTTAGCACTTCCACTGATGAAATAAGCTACTAATTTCTGACCAACTGCTTATGACTGTTCATTGATGTAGGTGACCTAAAAGTGTCTTCCTAGATGTAGAAGCATGATGTTTAATTTTAAAGCTTCAAACCTTCTCCATGCATGTCTGACTTCCCAAAATGATGACAAAACCTGCACCTTTATCTCACCTACAGCTTGCAATTGCTCTTGGTCCTGAGCAAACCTAGCTTCCTGGGCCTCCCATGTAGTCTCTCTGCCAGTGAGATCTCTGTGAATGCAGCTTGCACTTTCAACAGCGATGGTGATCTTTCTGACTTTTTTGACTTGCACATTGTGCACACATAGCCTCTTCACAGCTTCTAGTTCAGGTGTTATTTCTTAGATTTCCTAATGTGTTAGCTAAGAAGTTGCTCTCATGGAAACATCGATTTCTTTCCTTTTTTTTTTAATGGCTTGGTGTTAAACTCAGACAACTTCTTCATGAAGGTAATAATCCAACAACCAGCTGTAGTCACAAGATAGTTACCTCTATAGCCATATTTCATGTAGGATCCAGAAGCTACTACAGCTCCAAGCCCTTCACAGAGATCAGGTAGACGTTTTAAGCAGGAAAATTA